CCTGGCTGTTTTAACTCCCTGAAGACCAAGTTATGACCCAATTTTCTTCTGCTCTATGAGCAAAAAGCATCAACTTTCACTGCCGTTACTGTGCTTTCCATCAGAAGAGATTCATTGATCTCAGAATATGAAGGAAGTAACAGATAAAAAGAGAAAAATTGACTTCAGATTTTCATAAGCCTGCTGTCAAATTACTGTTGCAAGTAGCTGTTAAGAGAAAAGTAGATGTAGGGTGAACATTAGAAACTGTGAAAACCAGAGATGGACTAAGAAGTCACCTTCTGCCTGGCAAGAGGCCAACGGTGAGGATCTGAGCTTCTGCAGGGGAGAAGCATCACTGTGCATCTTCCTTAGCAGGTAAAAGGAACAAACTGTGGGGATGCTCAGGACAGCAAATGGCTGAAAACTAGAGAGCGATTTGTCACAAGCTTTGAAGGAATTCAGTATGTAGATGATGGGGCTGCATCAAGGCAGAACTTGGAATATGACTGCAGAGATGGGGAAAAACACAACATGGTGGACTTGGGATAGCTGCTGTTATAATTATTGAAGCCAAGGCTTCAGAAAGTGTTATCAAGATGGAAGACCGGATGTCTTCTGCCTGAGAGAACTGCCCCCCACATGAACCCCCCCGAGAACATCAGGCATAAAGCAGGTCAGTGACACGACAAGTGCCTGGCAGGGGTTTGGCACTCCCCTCGCAAGAACCTGCACCCAGGCGCACACCGCTTACACGACTCCAGTCTCCTGCTTCCTTCCAGGACCTTTGATGCTCACTAGGGTTACCGCACTTACCTTTAGAAACCATAGGCGAGACCCAGCAGGCGACACACCAAAGCCAGTTTTGTCCAAGAATGCATTTTGTTAAAGGAGAACCAGTCCGCTCCACGCAGAGCTATTTCAAGGAGATGAGGTGATGTTCAACGCACTAACAAAATTAGGAAAGCGTAGCAACGTTCCGAAAACAGTAATTGAAAGGCTGCAATGTAAACTGAAGCCCCAATACACAGGAGATTGTCCATTAATGCTCAAGTAATCAATATCTATAAAACCTTAAGCTTCTTAAATTACACTGCATAACCAATTTATATTCTTTTTATTTAGATTGAACTAGCTGATCCAGATGGTGTTTTAGCAGAGGCTTGGGCGATGTTTGATGACAGCCAAAATGAATAACCGGATGCTGAAGGAAAAAAAAAAAAGACGTGAGATACGAACATGATCCTGGGTTACTTATTCACGCCTCAAATCCCCACTGCGGTGTATCGTTTCGTGGTCTGCCTCACTTTTCCTTCCAGGCTGCCCATGTACGCTTCACTCTGCAGGTGGCCTTGCTCAGAAACCTCCTCTAACCCCCATTATTTTGGAAAAGAAAGGAAAAAAAAAGAAAGAAAAAAAAAGCACAAGCAGCAAAACAGTGGAAGACAGACAGTGACTCTTTGCCCAGCTCCTCTGACTTATTCCTCCTGTAAAGAATGAGCAGTCCTGTTGGCATCAAGGTCTTTCACCTTGCCTTAGGGAAGAAGCAGGCTTTCCTATATCTTATAAAACCAAAGCCCTAGAAAAGTACAGTCAAGTAATTGTCCTCTCCCCCCAAACTTAGCCCGATACATCCCTGTGACCCAAGATGGTTTTTGAAGTTATGACAGATCATGTTTCAATTAATATTTTTATTAATACAGCTTTACTTGCTCTCTCTGCATTTCCCATAACGTGACGCTGGTTCTCCCCCCTGACCCCCAAGAATGCCAAGCACCGGGTCTCACCCTGGCTCTGCTCCCCCAGCCCTCCCCGGCCCTGCGCCGTTTCTACCCAACGCAAGGACAACGTGCCAGCCACGTTGGGCTTCTGCTCCGTGGGGCACCGCTGAGCATCACCCGCATAGACGGGAAGAAGGCAGCACAGCAGCTGGCTGCTGAAAACAAACTGCAGGCGAGAGCGCCATCAGCTCACCCCACTGATGCTGTGCTTCCGAGCATCGCCTCTTGTTTGCAGTTTATTTGGTCCCTTTGTGTTTTCTAGGCTGAGAGATAACCTGCTTTTCTATTTAAGCACTCAGCAACAACACCTCATGCTTAGTCCCAAGATTTAAGCACTGCTGTCAGGAGGAAAAGCATGTCAACTATGTTATGTTCTTTATACCAGCCTGCATGAACAGAAAATTTTATCTTCATGTTAAGACCGAAATGAGTAACTGAAAGCATTTAAGAGATCCTCAGAAATACGCAGGTAGGATTAGCATGCCATAGCTGAAGAGATAAGGGATATAGAGAAAATAAGCATATTTTAGGCCTCTAGATAACAATCAGCAACAATTGAGTATATTTTATTTCATTAAAGTATTTTATATCTAAATAAGTGATATACAATGCTTGAGGTAAATGCATAATACCATTAGTATAAATAAGGGATAAAAAACAAATTTTAAGTGCACTCTTAACGTTTAGGTCTGGTTACTGCCTCTGGCACAGAGTTACGAGACTGTGCCCAAGGTGTAACATTCACAATCATTTCCACAGGTGGAAAATGAGAAACATACTCGATATCATGGCTTAAAGTGCAGAAAACAGTCAGAAAAGCAGCTGTATTAGCTCAGAACCTACCAGCTTGAGAAAGTTAAAAATAAGGTTGTCCCACCAGCTTCTAATTCTGTTATTCTTAAAACAAGAAAACCCCTCGCACTTCTCTGTCACTTTGTAAAAAGATCCACAAAATAAAGAGAAACTCAGTTATCCAGGACTGCAAGTAATTTTACAAAATAAACTTGGAAAATGTATTTTCTGGACTTCATTCAAAATAACATCATAAACGCACAATTTACGGACAGAAGTGTCATTTTAAAGCCTGACAGCACCCTTTCAACCATTTGCTCTAGTGCGAATATTGAGTCAGGTTTTCCTCCTTTACTGAGGGTTTTTAAGAGTCTTTTTCCCCAAGACAGAATTAGCGTTCCAGTAAAGGATGGGAAAATACATTTTGTGCCTACTACCAAGATTTCGCGTTTTGGAATGCTGCTTCGTTAATGCCTTTACTAACCTAATCCTTCCAGTGCTCCATGAACGAACACCTGTGGGGCTGTACTCACAATTCTCACCATCAGCAGATTTGCATCACCAACAGAATATATTTGAAGCATAACCTAATGGCAGAGCTAGACAAAATCCAGTTTGGCCTCTGTATGCCAGAAGGACTTGTGAAAACAGCAAGTGGAAAACTCTTTTCTGCTTGTGAACCAAGTACACCCCTGCGAGAATGCTGCAAAAAAACCCCACCCCAGCCCAGCAGGTTTTTTTATGGTTATGTTTTACAATACACACACACCATGGGTAACCTCATCAATGTTTTCCACTGCGGTGATGCTGACGTGAGAAATCAGTCCCATTTGTTTCATGAAGCTGCTTCAGTAGTAAAACCAGGCTCTGCCACCCTAACTCCATAGCCACATCCTATGGTTTATAAATACGCTGGGATAACCTGAGAAGGAGGTTGGGTGCAAGAGACCACGGTCAGCCCAGGCTCAGTTGGGTACAGCTCCACCGTATCGTCACGTTCGCGCCTGTCTAATTTCAAAATCCCAGGTTTCTATTCCACAGTGTTAGCTACGGTAGGGAGGTCAAGTTTTGTCCCATTAGACTTGAAACTTGTCTCTGTGTTCAAAAAAAAAAAAACCAACCAGCTTTTACCCATTAAAGCCCAAAGCTGCTCCACAGAAGAACTGCATTCCCAAAAATTCCACTTCTAGACATAGCTAAAATTACCAGAGCAGCCCAGGACAACTGCTGCAATCCTTCTTGGACAAACCTCTTGTCTAAGAGACCAAATGGAAGGTTTTGCTTAAAGAGGAAATAAAAAAATGACACAGTAGCGTCGCTGTCACAGACGTGTCTGAAAGTAAGCAGCAATATTGATTACAAATAACCTACTTTCATAAATAAATCTACATAGAGAAAAGTAATCTTCCAGATCCTTTGGAAGCAAAAAACTGTATAACAAGTTATTAAATACAACACCTCAGCAAGGAGAAGACTTTTTCTAAACAAGGAAGACCAAGGCATAGCTAATTACTTGGGAATCCAATGCAGAGAAAGCACCTTTTGCTGCTTGTATCTGAGGATTTATTAAAAATATATTTTTTAATATAAAAGTACAAAATAATTACTACTTTGGCTTGGAGGAAAAAACCAGCAGTGGTTCTGATTTTCAAGCAAAAAAAAAAATTATCCAGTGATAATTTCCATCTAGTTCCTTCTTTTTAAAAAAGATTCCTAAATGGGAAACAGGCAAATCTATCTCTCCAGATAATATGTGCCAGCTTGTGAGAACTTTAAAACAGTTATTGCTTTTATTTTCTTCCAAGGAAGAGTAGAGTCAAGTCTCATTCCTACTCATGTGGCCATACCACATCGCAGTAAGACTAGTGATGGGTGTTTAGCAAGTTATAAAATGTGTAACTGCCACGGGAAAAAGGCGCTGGGGAAATCAGTAAAGTAATAATTACTTGGCAGCAAAACGTACTGGGGAAAGTGGTGGGACAGCTTTCACTTTTACCATCTGTCAGGCTTTCTAGAGAGAACAGCACTAGCACTGAAACCGAGTGCTAATTGCTGCATATCCCAAGTAATTTGTATCATGCCATGCAATATGGATCGGACAAGCAATATCTTCTAGTAAATGCCAACATCAAATAAAGAGAGGAAAAAAAGCAAGCTTCTCTATCCATCCCTAACAAATACCCAAATTTACAATGTTATTTCCCATGTATTTTTACAGCCACCATTCAGCATTAACAAGAAGCAATCTAGAGAGTGCTCACAAGAGGAGGGATGCACGTGCAGTACAGGCATACCCCACCATCCGTTCCAGATGTCAGATAGCCAAAGTTTTATGAAAGAAACAACTTTTTTTTTCCTCTCTAAAGGGTTAGAACAACATTTATAATCTCTCTTTAAATGGTAATCAACAGTTCAACCAGTTCATCCACAGGAGAGTCAACATAACAAGGCAGAAGCAGAATAGTGGGTTTATTTTCTTTGAGCACAGGTTTACGCAAAATGGGTAACAGCAGAGGAGATAGTATCACCTCTGTGATCCAGCTGATCCTGGAGCCGTGCAAATTCAGCAAGTTCATTCAGTTCTTGAAATTGCCTGTCTGTTTTGTGGCTCACCAGTGACCTGTAGAAGTGGACTGCAAACACAATGAAAATCAATCCAAAGGGAACCATGATAGAGGTTGATGCAATGGCTGCTGCCTGTCCTGATGTGATGGTAGAACTGTTGCTCTGGAGAGGATTATCAGTTTTCTTCTTTAAAGGAAGAAACTTCACCCAACACAGTAGCACCACCTCTGCAAGAAAGAGCAAAGTCCCAATGACAGTAGAAAATGCCCATGCAAGCTCAATGTGCCGATGCATACGCTCATGAGGAGATTCCTTTACGGAGTTGAGATTATGCACGTTGCTAACAGCCTCTATATTTGGAAGAATGCAGGTACTTATCATGAGTGCAAAAAGATGAACTGCGACAAGGACAGTAGTGCAGGCACTGAAGGCTATCAAGAGACCTTGAGGGTAGTCATGATCCGCGTCTAGCTGAACTTCTACCATAGCCACCTGAAAAGAAAAGGAGAGAGAGATGCAATTACCTTATGTTATGTATTATTTGACTATAGATTATTTTAAGTTTAAATCATGTTTCCAGAAGATCATCAGACAAAATAATTGTCTGCATTTAAATTTCTCCTCATGTTAATCTGCACCTTTTTCATTAGGTCCAAATTTAGGTCTGAGCAAAGGCCACCGTTTTCATGCTTACTGTTCTGTTGTAGAGCAAACTACCAGTTTGCATGAAAGCTTCTAACAGCACAACCGCCTTGCCACCTCCAGCTCACCCCAACAAAACAGCTGAACTTTGTGATTAAGATACTTGGGCTCCTTAAAGTGAAACATTTCTTCTTTCCTGTGTTATATTTTAGAGAAAGCTTTTGATCTTTTACTATTGATTATAAACTTTGCTGGGTATTAGGAAATGTTTTGTGTCCGTACATATATAGAATGAATTCCGCATAAAGTTTTTGAAGTAGGTACCTATACCATGGAAGCCTGCAAGAGCAGCAGACTGCCCATCACAATCTTGATGGTCCTTTCTCCTTGGATATTTGTTTTTAAGTTCTGAAGAGCAAGAGCCTTTCATTAGAAAGATCACCTTTCCATGGAGCTCTCAGTTATATTCTTTCACTCAAAAGAAGTACTTAGGCAGACTCTGGAACACAGATTCAGGACAGGAGTCTCCATGATGTCCATGGCAGCCAAACATGCCTCTTAGAGGATGGAGGAATGACAAACAGCAGTCTTCCAGAAAAGAGAAGATAGAGTGCTCCCAGTCATCACCAGCTACTCTTACTCTAGAAGCTGTGTCTGGCCTCATCTCTGGGCAAGCTGCACTCTCTCATGAAGATGCTCCAGCCCTCCACTATCATATGCAGCTGTGTCCTTTTATAACCTCAGATCTCCAAGCATGCCCATGCTTAAGAAGGAGAAATTAGCATGAAATAACAGTGCTAGGAAACTCATAAACCCAGCTCAAATATTTCTGATAAAGAACAATGAACTAGAATGCCTTTTAACAGGTTTTAAAACTGTCAGGTGGTTTTATGCATGTGCAATTGATGAATGGCATTAATCCCAGCAGCTTTCTTGAAAAATAATCTTTCCTGATAAATTTGCCTTTCAGACAAAGCACAGTTCCAAAGAGGGGATAACGCAACAATGTCTCTATGTTTAGTGCTCTTTCTCAAAGGATCTCATTAAGTAGACAAGGTATGTTTAAAAAGCAGAGGAAAAAAATTAACAGCAATCTTAAATATCAACACACGTACATTGCGTAAGGAAGATGTAGAGGCTGCCATTCAGCACGGTTCAGACTGATCCACACCAGCCCTTTCTGCACCTTGGCTGCCCATTTGTGATCCATCATTGAAATGACTCAACTTGCCAGCACAGCGAACGCTAACCTGGTTAAGAAGCGGTGATCTGCTAGCTTAGCGAGCTGAGCTGTTTCTGCAATGCCTCTGATGAGCAACAAAGCTGGCACAGGCCCGCGTAACTGAGGAGGAAGCAGTTGTACCAGGACCTCAGACTCCTGGCAGCACTGAGCTATGAGCCTAGCTCTTCTATAACATACCAGTTGCCCTCAAAAAGACCATGAAACCAGTTCATACAACACAGTGCCTGAAACAAATCAGCTCTTCTGAGTCCCAGCGATACAGGTTTAGCCCATTACCACATGCCATTAACGGTTTGGACATTGCCCAGCCTATAGCAGACGTTGCAAACACCTCAATTCTCATCAAGCTGATATGTAGAAAATTTCATAAAGCGTGCATAATATGGATGCAGGGAGACTGAGACCCAAAGACAGCTGCAAAAACCAGCCACAATATTCAAACCTCATTATTTTGCCAAAGCTGAGCCAAGCTATACCTAGTCTGGGATCCCATCTTCTTATGCTCCCAGAACCAGCACCAGGACACCAGAACTCTTAACCACCAACACACCAAATATATTAAGCGAATCAAAGGGTTTGCTCAGGCATGTTACAACAGGCATTCAAGGCCATGTGCCAGTATTTTAATTCCTTTATTGAAAGCTTTTATCGTCATAAGCCTAACTACCCAGCCAACTACCAAACACTTTCCAAGTGTTACAAGAAACTCAACAAGAAATTATATTAATGCATATACGATTCTTGCTCAAAGATTTTAAAATACCATTTCTCAATCGTGGGAAACTTCACAGTTGAGAGGATAAATATTTGATTGTTGGGTCTCTCTTCTGCAGGATTGCTTGTCAGGTCCCAGTGCATTCATGGGATGTTGGGCTTCCTATGTTTTTCACAGAACAATTGCAATCCTTCACCACTGAGGATTCATTTTCATACTTACCAACGTTTTTTTCTTGTAAATTTTCTGGTGCATGTCTAGACTCAAAAACATCCAGTACTGCAAGACATTTTAATCCTTTATCCTGGTACTTACTAAGTTAACATAACCATGACACTAAAAAGCTTCATAAGATAAAGACGTAATTTTCTTTTGAAAACTGATGTATTTAATTTGCCAAATATTGAAGGCATTTTTTATTTCCATTAATCAATGTCTCCATGTAATAATGATCAAAAGCACCTGATTTTGAAGTTCAGTCAGACTCTCTTAATTCCAACATACCAGCTGTCCTGGAGCTACTCTTCCCATTTCAACAGAACATCAGGGAAAAAAAATCTTTTCTTCCTCTTCTCAGTGTAGCCCAAGCTAAAAAGAAATGCTAAATAATTACATTTAATCTAACTGTACCTATTTACAGTTTGGCTATAATTATATGCACGATCAAAACAAAATCTTGCAAGAAACCAGCTTCATTTAAGCAGCATTCAGATACTCAGATAGCTCTATGCCTAGGCAATCACTGACAGAATCATGGGACAACTATTAAAAGGAGACATCCAGACCAGGAATCCAAGTTTTCCTGGGTTAAATAGACTTCATTTAGCTGGGTGTTTCCCTGAAAGAGTGACCCCAGGAGTACCTACAACCACCATACACTGATGGAATAGCTTAAACCAGAGTTCGAGCTACACAAGCAAGGCTTCAGTTTATGTGGCTGACAAATATGTTAACACAGACCTGCTTTGCACAGGAAGCTTGTTGGGTAGGTAAGCCCCAAATCACCTCTCAGAAGAGCTTTCTGAAATCCAGCAAGGCTGTAGCCATTACTTAAGACTTGTCACAATTTACCCCACGAGCAGGCAGGGCGTAACTTCCTTCAGCTCAAACCATACCATGCAATTACGTACTGTAATTCCAAGTGTACTCACATAATTGTGGGTAGCATCAACATCACTTGACAGGTAGCCTAAGTACTAGTCTTCTAAAGTGCAAAATAAGCTGGTGGCCAAATAGCCATATACCCTGCCAGTTATTCCCAGTTTGGGATGCTAACAAGCCACGAATAAGGCAGAAGCAGGGCGGTCAGTCATCCCAACCTTGAAGCCTGGCGTACACCTTCACGCAGCTGAAAGCTGCGGGAGGGAGACCATGTACCGCAAAGCGCCAAGGGGAGGGCAAGCTCCCAAAGGGGACTCCCAGAAAAGACCAGGGCATCCCATGCAGGTTACACTCAGTTTCAGCATCTTCTCCCAACTCAGTCCCTCCCACAGTAATTTTTGTGCCAGCACAGCCCTGATGCTAAACACCAAGAGAGCCCGGCATTAGGAACGACATGTGAAGTTAAATCATACTTGTCTATCCTGCCAACAAGCGATATGACCTCCTCTCCATGGCTGGAGCCAAAGGGAGCAGTACTAGCTGCATCAACCACTGGGCCAGGAAAGATCCTACACCAAAGTGACTAACAGAAATGTGAGAAAGGAGACAATATCAGTCCGCTTGGAGAGAAAGCATCGCAATTTACCCACTTGGGAAACTACAGTAGCTGGAAAAATATTCTTATTGACGCTGAAGGGATCACAGCTTTATAGGGTCAGCCCTCCAAAGGATGAGTGTAAGAGACCCTCACTTTGAATGTTCCGGGTATACTTACAATACAGACACATCAGGTGCAGCTCCACAACGCACTGACAGTTCTTTGCAGACCACAAGTTCTCTAGCAAGGGAGTTTGATGTTTTTCTAGAACCGACCAGTGACAAAATGTGATACAAGCTAGAAGGTATGTGCATAAGAAACAAGAGACACCAGAGAGTTTTTCATGGGTTCATAGGCAGGAAAAAATTATGCTGAAGCTAACTAGCTGGGCAGAGACACCCGTAAATAAAGAGAAAATGCAGTAACTTGCAGTTGTAAGTGACACTGGTGTTAGAAACACCCTAAAAGCAGGAGTGGGGGAAGCAAGAAAACACTTCACCATTCAATCAGGATGAAGAGATACTTCAGAACTCACTTCAAATGGAGACTTTTGGGGAGGTTGTAGGATACAGAATGCCTGAAGGATTTCAAAGTCTACTGAAGTTGACAGAAAGTCTCCAGGGGGGCACAGCAAAGCCTCCTTGTGTTCAGGCCTGGCGGAGTAACTGCAGCTTGACCCGTAAGTGAAAAATCAGTTCATGTTTTCCGCCTCCTCAAACTGTTGAGGAAGCTAATTTGGGAACCCTTTCACTATAAACCAGCAGAAAAACTGCCAACTCTTTTCAATTGCAAGTCTCTGTTCTTTACTTCCTGGGCCAAGCTTGAGCCAGGCACCTAAAACAAAAAGCTCCATTTTTCATTATGAGGCCCTGTGCCTGTTTTCAAACAGTGATGGAAAGCATCAGAAGTTCTTCTCTCCTTTACTCATGCTGCGATTTCAAAATGCACAGATCACAACTGCTCTTGTAAGGTAATGCTTGCACAAACAGGCCTCCGATGAGCTCATCTGATAGGATCCAAACCCATTCAAAGCCTGAACTCATAGGTACACACTGATGTTTCACGCAGGAGGATGTTTTCCTGTGTCTTCTATTAGGTTTTTACACTGGTTCTGAAGACAAGCCCCTCAGGGCAGGAACCGTCACTGGTAGCTGCACAGTATCCAGTACAACATGTTTCAGCACCTTCTCCTTCCCCACTTTCAAAGCTTCTTTGAACACTTGCTGCATGGTTTCTACTGTGCATCCTGCCTTGCTGCGTAACCATAGAATAACGTAGGTTGGAAGACACCGCAAGAGGTCATCTGGTCTAATCCCTGGCTCAAAGAAGAGCTAACTTTAACTTCAGATCATCCTGCAGATATGACTGACTAATTTACTACAGCCCTTGACAAAGCCGTAAATCTGAAATACAGCTTCTTGACAAAATTAAAGGACTCTTGCGATGTTAAGATGCAGGACTGGAGTTCTCATGAGCCTAAAGCCAGTGGGCATTCAGATGCTTTCAAAGATAACTGAATTTGGACAGACAATCATGTTAAGGCTTCTGACAGCCCTGGATTTCAGAGTCATGGCAGCCTGAATACTGCCACATAGCAAGAAATTTAACAACTTGCCCTCTAGAAGAACCCTCATTTCAATTTTATTTAACATTTAATATCCTGAAGTAAGTTAATTTCATTTGTGTATAATGCTTCCACATCTTATTAGACCGGATTGGCTTAAAAGAAGCTCCTGCTTTCAAATCAAAATCCTGAATGCTCTGAAGGTTTCTATTCATACCAGAACACTTACACAGTGTCTCTGAGAATTATTGACTCCACTGCTTTGCAGGAAGTGAACTGTGATACACTAATAACACAATTTTCATTAGCAATAACAATTAATATAAAGAACCAGTCACATACATAGCTGCAAATGAAGCTCACATTGCTACTGAAATGCAGAATAAGCAACTGTCCTAGTTTGTCACTTGTTCATTTTTACCACAGCAGCAGGACAGAAATTAATGACTTGCTTCAAATTTTAGCATTATTCCCCAGTTTTATAAGCTACTAGACAGTATGTTGGCTCCACTTAGATTGGTTTTACTTCCAGCATAATGCAAGCTTCAAATTCAATTCCTACTTTAAGATAGGGGGTTCTAAAATAGGAAGTATTCAGGGAAATAAAAGATGACAGAAAATGATCAGAATAAAAACGAAAGGAAGAACCGTACTAAGAGCCACCCAGGTGGCAGGTCATATTGACACTCGAGACTTTCAACCCACAAAAAAGGTTTGTTGTCATGTGTAATAGCAACAGTCGTGAACACACTGAGAGCTTTCTGACTTAATCACATCTTTTTCAGAATCAGTAGCCACTGCTGTAGAGAAAAGGAAATAAAATGCCTTATCTCAAGTAAATCTGTATTATCTATGAGCTATTTATAGATTACTTCCTCTCCTCCCCTTCCCCACAAAGATGACTCTGTCAGGAATATAACGCAGGCTGGGAGCCTGTAACTGCCATACCACCTCTCACACTATCAAATACTAGTGTTAACATACAGCTGCGAGTCATGATTGAGTTCAGCACACCATGGATAGACACCTTCAGAGTGGACAGAGCCACAGCTAATTAAAACTCCTCACTGCTGATCATAGTTCTGAAGAACACACGTGGCCACTTCTCCACAAGACACCTGATTTTAGCTAAATATGTTCTGTAACCAGGGGGGTGCAGTCAACAACTAATGATGGCTCTGCAACAGACGGCTGTAGATTTGTCTCCTGTACCACCTGAGATACTATCTCACCAGCCTAAAGCTCCAATCACAAGTGCTCTCCTGTCATTTCTATCTGACAGATTCAGAAAAGAATCGCAGAGCAAGAAAGCAATCTTATTAAAAGTCACTAGGTTTAAATATCAACAATCTTGTAATGACCCATTTAATGGAATACTTGGAGAAACGCTGGCTCTCGGTATGATCCCATTCTTACTATGTTCTACTGCTCATGTGGTTGCTGCCTCGTGGACTGTAACAAACAAAATCCCTTCAGAAAGGGCAATGTCAGCTTCAAACATCAGCCTTGCTAAAGACACCAACCACCTCTTAATGAACACAGGTCTAGAATCATCTGTACACCCTTGCAAGATTGTTCTCACCTCCTCTTCCCTGGCCACGGCTACCATTCCTAAATAGAAAACTGATTAAGAGGACAAGACAACTTTATACAAAGTCCAGCACGTCAGGAATGGCCTAAAAGAAAACTGATCAAACATCATGGTTGCATTTTGTAAGGGTCTGTCTGCAGTGAGAGGAGGATGCGAATCCTACCTGGAGAAGAGTATCAGTGCTACATCACCTTCACCTCGCTGGACCAATACTCACCAAGGCAAAACCGCACGTGTGATCACTAAAGTATTTCAACACCTATCTGCAGAAATATTTTCTTAGCATCACTCACTGCAACTAGGACTAGACTTGACTACATCTAGTTATCCATAGTTACACATGCGAGTGATTCTTCATAGCACACGCTACTCTTAGCCAGGGGGAAAAAAACCCTCCACGCACATAGAGTGGTTTCTCCAAGTCTTGACGTTCACATCACAAGGTTATTTCAGTAGCAAATTCCATGTTCTACCCCATTGCTTGTCTGTGTGTGCGACCACAGGGGAAAAGTCAAGAACGAGACGGGTGTCGCGGCACCACTGGAAATTAGCACTCCTCTGGCTGTCTCCTCAGCTCCCGAGTTGGTCGGTCAGTCTCTGTTTTCCTGACAGTACAATTCACTCCCAGAGACAGAGGCGCAGAGCCAGGCTCTCACAGAGTGTCTGCACCATTCATTAAGAGTTACAAACAACTCACAGAAAGACTCTGTATAAGCCAGAGTCAGTCACCGGAAATTAAAAAAGATAAGTCAAAATAATGATCTTATTACTGGTTTTATACAGAAGAGAATGTAATCATCATTTATCCATTAGTCTAGAATCATGACTCTGTGGATTATTATATGTTGCAGAACAGCAAAACACATTAATAGCTGCTAAAGCTAACACTAGAATACAAATGCAGGATTTAACTATATTTTGCTAGTAAACATGAAAAGACAATACCCATATAATCAGAGTAAATCTACCTTCTCAAGATGAATTTATCGTAAGTATCTCTAAACAGTGTTACTATTTGATAAGTACAAGGTCAGATTAGACAGCACAGCAGGGAGAAGAAACAGCGGCTCATTATCACCTTTACATCGTCCAAACTACAGCAGCTACTCACAGCTGCTGTAAAAGAGAGCAGTAAGAATCCTACGTACTCCATGCTGCCTGCCTCACTCATCTATAACCTTGAGACAGGGATGCTCAAAGGAGCAACAAAATCTTGCTTTCCTGACTGAAAGAGAAGAAACCTTTTAGATGGGGGGAAGATTCTTCAGAGCACAGTTCTAACCTGGAAAGTGCAACAGTGATATAAAAAGTAAGTGGTGGCAGAAGCCATAGAAATAGGCCTGTAACCTTTCTTACAGGTTACAAAATGCAGCTGTTGCATGTTATTCTACCAGCAACCCCATTAAATATTCTATATTTGAAGTATATATATTACTATCTAGACAACAGCCTAGCCAGCTTGAAACATTAGAGGTATTTAGAAGAAAAGTGTGCTGTCTAGCAACTAATATCCTCCAAATCCTAAATATAGCTAAGTTGAGCACAGTGGTCATATAATTTAGATCCCTAATTGAGGCTCACATATTTTCACAGAGCTGTTAATCAGTGGATGGGAGGCGATGTTGGAGTTTTCCAGTTTGATGATTGTTGGGATCCAACAACTTCCCTATGATACTCGCAACTCTGGGATCATGATGTTGTCATACTACTGCATGATGCATCCCTGGTGACAAAATGATGCTAATAAGTCAATTTAATTTATTCGTACAAAAACAACCTACCAGCAGCCTGTCTATGCTGGAGCTCTTGATACTGCTACTGTAGGTGTGGATGAGCTAGTGCTTGCAATATTGGATACTACCTGCAAAATATTTACAGCACTGAGATAAACTGGATTAAGAAATAAAGATAGGTATGGAGGGGAAAAAAACCCAAACCATAAATATCTGGGACATAACACAGAAGTGAGAAATACTCGATACCTCCACTGGCATTCTTTCATGGACTACACATACTCTACAATTTACAGTTTATTTCTTTAGCTCTAACACTTTGGGGGATTGATAGTACTTACTGGCTCCATAAATTGGAAAAGTGTACTAAATGCAAGATTATAAGCTTCACAAATTTCCTCTTACACACTGGATGATAGCACCCATGGAAATCTGCACAAAGGAAACGCTCAAGCTTACTCGTGGGAGCTTCTCTTTAACATCAGCAACCACCAGACCCTGCAACTGTTTCCAAAGCTAACAGGCAGTGGCAAACTGTGATGTGTAGCTCTAAAACAAAACTAATTGTAAAACATGTTTTTTAAACAATCTTCTCCGTGGAAGCATAACAGTTCTGAGTTTGAAACTTGGCCGAGCACTTCATAACCTACACACCACTGACCTGGGCAGTCTCTTGACTTTGTCATGCATCATTTAACTGGGGTATGCGTAACCAATCTTAAGGGAATAAACTTTGCAAAATGGCTGCAGTTATACACAAAATTAATCCATAATAAACAGTTCAGCGGGAGATACACTTAGCTCATACTAGAGGATGCAAGTACTGATTAAAGATCAAGGATCACTGGGGCTGGCATGGAAACGAGCACATTCCACTCCTGACAATTCCCATCAGTTTCCTGGGTGGCCCTGGATGTGTCATTTAGGCCCTTTCTTCCTAGTGTTGATAAGGAAAACAGAGACACAATGACGCTTAATTGCTGTTGTAAGCTTTAGATCCAAGACTAGATTGTACTTGAGCAGCATTTTGTTCACATATCAAGTGCCAAAGAATCCGCTGAATTTAGGAAACAATGCATAGGCGTGACAGCAGAAAGAAGGCCCTGCTTTTCAAGGCAGAAATTGTGAAGGACATCGTTAAAAGATAAGGAAAGTTTTTAATAAGAAATCTAAAAATATGTGAAAGTTAAGTCAGCACTTCTGAAAATAGATTAGGAAGTCTGAGCTACAGGACTATCTGTCACAGCAAAACCAATGGGGCTACAAGTTGGTTTCCAGCGTGATCTTGTTAAAAGAAGAAAAAAAGTAGATTTTTTTTGAAGGGGTTAAGTTCAAGAAAATTAAAATGTGATGAATGTTCACATGTAAAATCCCGAGCAACTAGAGATTTGTTAATGGGAACAAAGTGGCTTTTTCCTGAAATACCCTAAAAACCATAAATATAAAAGCAGCAGTTTTCAACTGCTGCACACTGAACTCCTAGAACGCTTCTAGAGAATCAAGAAAGAAGTACATGAAGTCCCATCTCATACATCCACGGGATTTTGAGAGTTCATATAGCATATATTTAGAGAAAAGCCGAAGAGATTTAAGATATTAAGTATGACTTTTAAATAGTAGTATTTCTACTCATGCAGATGCAACCTCCCTTAGATGAAAATTTGCAAAACCCAACAAAATACAGGGTTTTTTTTACCACGTTCTCTCAAGGTAAAAGTCTGACTCAAGAAACCACCCCGACAAACTGCTCCGACACAGGAGAACGGGTGTACAATAAGGAAAACTCATTAGCAGCAGCAGAGCATGAGCTACCAGCCTGATGCACGTTACCCAAGGAGAACCAACTCCAATGTGCCGCTGCACTAACACAGTCGCCTGTCAGTCAAACGAAGAGCAGTCCACCACCACCCCTGAAGAGTTGAGTCTGTTTTTAGCCATTGAAGGAGGACAGTGACATTTATTTGACCGTCAGAAGGCTGCTGCAGACCGGCTGCTGTGTTTTAAAACAGCATCCTCTAATTAGAATAACTTTTTTTAAGGGGAATATATCTTGCAGTTGAAAATACTCACCAGGGCAAAAGTCAAAATAAGTCAGAGCTATACAATTCGGTATTTGCAACTATGAAGCATATTTAATGCAGATGAACAAAGGAGCTGACTGCAGTTAGCAGATTAGTATGTTAGAGGACTGGACATACGATGAAGCTTGAAAATTACTGTATTTCAATCTCTATGCAGCTTTCATTTGAGATAATTAGGATTACTGGACTACGTTTCTATATCAAACCCGAAAGCAAGAGACATACTAATAAAAACGACATTTCTAAAACATGCACAAAACTCCAAAATAACGCCCAAGATTTCCTTAAAAAAAAAATTAATTAGAAAGATCGCAACTGCAGATAACTAATGATGGATGTAACGAGTCGGGGGGACACCGTCAACTTTAATCAGTTGGAGTTCGGTGTTTTTTTGGGTTTAGGGTTTTTTTAATTTATCTAAAAAGAGCTCCAGTGTAACACCTGCCTTTGCATCCTTTGCACAAGGTGTG